GGGAATCGGCTTCCCTCGTCGAATTGGCCGATCGAAACGTTTCTAAATCACGGCAATTGAATATCAACCGGCCCGGGCATAAAGGCGACGTTATAATTTGCATGTTAAGGAAACGCCAGAGTGAGGTAGTAACTATATATCTTGGAAGTTTTCGAAAGTTGGAGAGGCAATAGGTGGCCTTTGGACCGACCGACAGAGTTATACATACAGCCGCGAGGCGAACGACCGAAAACTTTTCGGGAGGGGGCGTTACGTCTGCGAATGGGATCGTATCTTTTCAAGTTTGCGTCGGTCAAAATGGCATTTTTGTTCGGGCCAGCTTCGTGGCCTGAGTTTCGAGGGAAACCTCGTCGTTGGATCGCGTAAAAACGTACCGGTCGTAAACGTTTCAGCATCGTTAATATTGCAATGTCGTTACCGCAATATGATCCAGCCTTCGGGAACGAGTTTGGACCCGGTCGATCCGAGGGCCTCTCGACTGAATAAATCTTTGGCGAGAATCTGCGACCATTCGATCGCCGATAGTAATATTTAAAACGCCATTAATCGAATGTTGTTCGCAACAAAATTGCTCGTCCGAAGTTCGTTGTCCTTTGACCCATGTACCGGTTAGCGTGGTCTTGGCTGTTTGGACGTTTGCTGGTCCAACAGATCCCAACTATATGCGTTAGAAATCAAGAATTTTATACATGCGTTCAGTGCAGTTTTGCACTTTAAAGTTTCCTACAAATTCATACAAATTCGTAAAAATTTTCGTAACTGAAAATGAAAGAGCTTTTGATACTGTATCTACTAGATTGGTAAATGATTTTACCGAACATTTTCATTCGTCATTTTATATGGAGCAGAATTGTCGCGTGATTCGTAGTTTGTAAAATTGCTTGGAACTTTACCCGTGACTATGTTGCACGAGATAATTTATTAGTTTTTCGGTAACATTGGAGATTTATTAAGTCTGACAGAACGTGCGATTTTTCGCTAAAATTAAATGAGACACGAATTCTTATGAATTTATAGAAAACTTTAAAATAAAAAAAACTAATAAACTGACATAATACGAAAGAACGTATAAAGTGTAAAGCAATATTTAGCAGGTGAAATAATTTTTTACCGAGGTACTCGGTATTTTTTTTTTTTTTTTTTTAATTCTAATTCACCAAAAATGCAAAT